CAACGCCAAGATTGGATCAAGAAGAACGTCTGAAGAACGTAGCACTGGGTCCCACGGATTACAATGTAGCGAACAGGGTGAGCGGCTGCCTGAGTTTGTCACGGCGACCAAGAAAATCCATGGTAACTTGCAATTCCAGAAGCCCCACGCTCAGCACTGGGCGTGGAAGTCTCCCAATGGAGAGTTCCATAACGAAATAGACCACATCATAGTAAATAGAGGGTTTTGCCTAACCGATGTCGCTGTTGTCCCCAAATTCTACACGGAATCAAACCATCTCGTGCTAGATTCTATTTTTCGCGGAAAGGAGTAAAAGCCGCTGAATTCATAAACGAAGTCCCAGAACCACTGTAAACTTATTCAATTGATTTGTCGGCTGTTGGGAAGATGCTGTTGTCGATAACATCGACGAAGAATACGATCGGCTCAGTCGACATCTTCACGTTAGCGCTATGAAAACTGAGAGTTCGAAAGTCACCAAGAGAAGTCTGTCTCCAGAAACACTCGAGCTGATACGCTAGCGTGGAATCGCAAGAGCTGCAAGCAACCGCCGGCTAACGTCCAAACATGCAAAACAATGCAGACAAGCGATAAAAGAAGATCTTAATGAAAGAACAACAGCAATGGTCGAAGCTGTCGAGGCTGGGAAAGCATTCGCAAGGCCCAGAGCTTCACCATTTACAAGACCAAAATGATTGCACTACGGCCCCCAGACGGAACAGTTACACCGTCCAGAAAGGCAATGGAGAAAATTATTCAAAAAAAAATTAAAATTATTCACGAATACTACTCGGATTCCTTCGATAGCCACGACCACCTTCCGTCATATAAAATAAAGGAGGATGGTTATGTTGTACCACCGGTTCTCCCTTCCGAAATTCGACATGCCACTTCGTCGGTGAAAAATCGAACAGCACTAGGTCCGGACGGGATAAGACCAGAACACCTGGAAAACCCGACGCCAGACCTCGTAAGCACACTGGCTCGGCTCTTCAAACGTTACCTGTCTGGATACGAGGTCCTTACTCAGTGGAAGACCGGCAAGACCGTGTTATTGTTCAAGAACGGTGACCTTCACGATATCGACAACTATTGCTCGAACTGCTTCCTGTCTGTCGTCTACAAACTTTTTCCTTGAGGAATCCCAAACAGGATTGATGAAACACTAGACGGAAGACAGCCATGCGAGCAAGCATTGTTTCGTAAAGGATTGAGTACGATGGACCACAATCACGTGGTAACACGGCTCATTGAAGTATCGCGGGAGTACAAAAGACCGCTCTGTCTCGCCTCCATCGATTTGCGGAAGGCATTTGATTTAGTTGAGATAGAAGTGATCTTGGAAGCCCTTGAAAGTCAAGGAGTGTCGTGAGCTGTACAAAATTTTACAACTAAGGTATCACCATTCTACAGAGATATTAACATTGACGTCAAAAGTGGAGTTAGGCAATGCGATACCATGTCGCCAAAATTTTTTACCACCACTCTGCAGAACGTCATGCGAACATTGGAATGGGATAATATGAGAGTGAAAATCGATGGTCGGTAGTTAGACCATCTTCGCTTTGCTGATGACATCGCCCTTGTAATATCAAACATTAGCCAAGCGGAACATATGCTTGACGTCTTTGATAATGCTCCAGTTATATCTATTTAGGTCGGGAAATCAATATGATGAACGACGTAGCTCGAGAGCTCAGTTGAAGGAAACGAGCAATTTGGGGAGCTTTCAAGAACATCGGGGATGTAGTGAAGACAGCAACGAACCTCCGACTTCGTGCCCACCTTTTCAACTCAGCGGTGCTTCCTGCCCTAACGTATGCGTCAGAAACCTAGTCGCTGCGTGAGCGGAATGATAGATCACTCAGCGTTATCGCACGCGTAGTCGAAAAGATGATGCTAGGGGCATCCCGTTCCACACAAATAAGGGATGAGATCCGAACCTCCGATCTGCGTGAGCGATAAAAAATCAAAGATGCCGTTCTGTCCGCCAAACAGTCGAAGATAAGGTGGGCCGTACACGTAATGCACATGAATGACAGCCGATGGGCAAGATCTCTTAGTGACTGGATTCCTCGGGATGTCAAACATGCTGCAGGAGAACCTATGGTCACAGTTCTTCACGAAGAGCCTAGAAGAAGGATATGATGGTCGACGAATCCCTAGAGCTAGCAGAACCCACTGGGCTGCTCTTGCACGCGACACGGAAAAAATGGAAGATTTACTGGCCGCCCGTCGGGTCACTCGACGATCAGCGGTACTACAGGTGATACAGGTGATACGTGCTCTGTGATTTAGCGCAAAACTCTTGATGAGAGACAAAAGCGTGAGCTTTCACTTCAAAATTGTCGATGATACTGCGTGCAGTATGCAGACCACTTCAACCATGTCTTATAAAGATTAATCAGGTCCATCATCACTATGCCGATTTTCGCATTTCAAGTCTTGGAATAATACCCTGGTTTCGAGAAGAGTCTGAATACTTTTTAAGAAATAAACATTACTAGATCGATCGCGTAATGCGAGGTGAAGAAGGTGAGTGAAGGGAAAGAACATTAGAATGTATGACGAGAGAGTCATAATGATGTCAAAAAAAACCACTGGAATGAGGGGCTCGCTTATTCGTTACATTTGTGCATCGCCTATATTAACAGCTGGAATCAGTTTCCAAATCCTTGAAGGATATCCGAAGCCATATGCAATTACGTCGTCATCTGTAGGCAACAGTTCCAAGACAGCGATATTTACGAAAGAAGTGCTGAGAACCACATGATATGTAAGATCTGGTTATCTATTAACTAAACAAGTAAAACTCAGTAAATAAGGTAATTTTACCTGGATACTCTTTATGCACTCCTGCTAACTGTTCATTGCTTAGTAGTGGTCTGAGAATGTTTCTGTATGATGAATATCAGTTTGCAGCGACGGTTTTAAATCGTAGCGAAAATGTTCCCGAAGGTTCCAAACAATTTGAGGGCGGGCTTCCTATTGAGACTCGCTAGGTTTAAAGTATAGCCAAAAATTTTTTTTTCCATTTCTAGAAGCTCAGAAGGACATGTTGACCTGTTGCCTTCAAAGAGCTCTCCATACATGAGCACATTTTTGTCGGATGGGCAAAACATAGCAGTGCGGCTAGATGGCCGAACCATCTTATAGGAAGTCTAGCCATAAGTATTCAATTATGATTTGACTCACAAGGGCATGAAATGGTTCAAGCTGACTCTCTAAACACTCTTTTCTCCATGAAAGAATCTCTTAAGCTAGCAAAATAATAGTTCCGTTGGAATACGTCGGGCCTAGCATGACTTTTCAGAAAGAGGCTTCATTCAACTGCCTGAGTAGCGATTTTGAAAAACAACTATGTCAGTGGTTGTTGTCAGGTAGATGTACTCCTTTAAGAAAAAGTAAAGCATCATTAATGTATCACATAAACAAGAGGAATCAAACCATGGAAATCTCTCCTCAAGTCATCTTTTCTTTTTCTTTTTCAAACAATCTTTAGTGGGTTTCAAGACATTTCTGTGTATTTTGAGTGTGCATTGTCACACTTAATACTAAAGCAATATTTTTAAAGATCATTCGCAATTTAATGTCTGCATGAAAAATCTGTATTTGTGGATTCATAAGCTCACCCGAAGCGACTGGATTCAACAGAAATCATTGTCCTTTAAAGAAGAGAAGGTACCTAAATATTAGCAACGCCACGGTTTAACAATGTTCATAAAGAAGATGACAGTCCTCAAACAGCAACTGAATCCACACACAAAAAGTCCGAAGACTTGATACGAGGAAATGTATAGAATGCAAGAAGTTTTGAGATGCGCGCAGTAGCTTTGATGATGGACCGTTGAAATATTGACAAATAAACGGTTTAACTACGATCCCATAATAACGTGCTTCAAGATGTCTCCATAGTCTTTACTACAGACAATTTCGCCATGTTTTTACTTCAATTCTTCGAGGGCAACAACAATTCTGCGGTCGGCCGACTGACTTCGGAACGATGTGGCAGACAAAATACTTTTTTAAAAAGTTATTGAGCAAAATTGCTTTTGGAGGGTTTGTTTGCCTAAAAGCGTGGGGTTTTCGGCTTCAGTAAAAGAATTTAATTCTTCGGAGGCATCTGTTAATTAGAATGAGGTAGCCATCTACTGAACCTATAGTAAAAGAATGTCTTGAGAAGAGTGGAATGTTTCAGCAACATCTTTTCCAGCAGCTGCAGTACTTTAGAAAGGCAATGCTCAAATATAAGTGGATTTTTTAGTTACCTCAACCGACAACTGACAATCTATTAGTACTTTTTTATGTGAGTCGTGCTTCACACCTACCGTGCGGTTCTCAGTTCTCACATTCGATTCGTTTCCTGTCATCCATCATCCACGAAGTTCTTCCAACATGTGGCGTCGACTGCTGTTTGAGGATTTTTCTTTCATCTTGAAAATGTTGAAGATCATTTTTTGTTATATGCCCTTTGACTCTGTTCTGCCTGGAATCCGGAGTTAACCTGTTTAGAGCTTTCAAACCTGGACTTCAGGGAGTGATTTTTTCCCGGACAAGTCTGGTATCAACTTCCTAACCCCGGAGGTATGAGAAGCTTGGTAAGCCCGGAGCGGGATTGAATCAGCACTGTGTTCGTAGTGGTCGTTGATCATTACCATTGTGCTATTCATCACCTGTATTAGCATTATCACATATAGTGTTGCACTAGCTACGTAGCATCAATAGTTTCTTCACAAAGTAGATGTTTGCGAGGAAAGTCATTATTTGTTTAACATTTCTATCATTTAGCAAAAAATTGCAACATAGTTGTATAAACGGAGAATTAACCAGAGACTAGTTGGATAAAACTATAAGGGATTGTATCAGAACGGACGAATTAAAATAGAAATGGAATAAGCCAGCAAGTAATCCTTTACCTTCGGTGTTTGTTATCTGTTTGCTCGTTAAATCCTTAAGAGAACAACTCTCTAAACTTAAAGAGCTAATCTTCTTCGTGAAGAGTGATTTCAAATTTGCAGTACGTGGGTAGCATGGAGATTCCACGACCTGGTACCCGAATCGAAATTGTTGCTGCGATGCGGCGTGTTAGGGTATGTGGAGTTGCGATCTTTGTACGAAAAATTTTTTTCTCCCATTGTTTTCGTTAATTTTATTCAAGTACTTGTTTTCAGTACGAGTTCAAAGCCCGGGGCATTAAAAAACGACCGGTTGACATCACTGTTTCCGTGGATGGGGTCAAGGTTGTTCTCCAACGAAAAAAGGTCTTTATCTTATGGCAGTATTATCATTATACATTTACTTTTAGAACGATTTCGTTTTGTTCGCTTTGGATGAATACGCTATTTTTCAGCAAAAGCAAAAATGTCTTTCATGGGACGAATCGAAGCTGCTAGTGATGTTTCACCCCATATATAGGTAGTGATAATAATTATTTTTGCTTAGTATTGCTGAAGGTGGCAAAAGTCATTATTTCATTATTACATTATCTGAAACGTATAATATTACATTATCAGAAATGATTGCTAAACTTAGATAATGAAATCGTAAAAAAATTGAAACGACACGAAAGCACTTCTAAGCAATAGAAAAGTCTTGAAAATTGAAACCATTCCACCTTTACTGGTTTTTTCGAAGAGTGTTAGGCTTGTCCATTGTCAAACTCAATCAGTGGTTATGAGTAGAGATATTCAATGCAAAGACCTGAAAAATTTCATCAGGAAGTTTTGTTCATCTTCCACATTTTTTAGCAACGTTTCATACCCATTTGAGCTGTAATATGTTGTCTCTGGATAACTTTCGATCTAGCGGCTTTAGAGCCTAGAAAACAAGCTCACCCTACAGTAATTTAAGCAATTAATCGTTTTCGGTGTTGTATACTCTATACTACACATCTCGTCACGCCATTCCACGGCAAGTTCGTTGATCGGGAGCTGGAGACTTTTTAGTTTAAATCCAACAATATTCGACATTTGAGATTATGCAGTTTATCATCCAATAGAAACACAGCCGAAGGCCAGTTGTTTGAAAATGATAGAAACACTTCGAACTGCCACAATGAGATAATTTGTCTTTCGTATGAAATACGTTGTCATTTATGCATTGTACAGTTAGCACCTGTGTTCTTCTCGAAAACCTCTACACCTCAAAAACCATTGTCAAATCTAGCATAATATTACCACACAATTATAGCACGTGAATTAGCCGTTTTTATGTTTATGATATGTGCTTTCAAACCTTATGTAAGAAAGGTATGGTACTTATAAAATTATAAAAATTGAATGAAATACCACAGTAAATCCTTTTTGCGGTGCATTCCAAAAAATGTCCTTTTCCTTTTCTTAATACTTGCTTTTTTATATATAAAAAAATATATACGTAATTTAATTACGATTTCAGGATATTTTACGTCTCGCATGATTCCCAGGATCTTCAAATCTTCTCTTATATAGCACGTGATGGTGCTAGCAATACCTTCAAATGTAATGTATTCAAATGTTCAAAAAAAGTTGGTTTCTTCTCATACCATCGACTCCAATTTGATTATTTATGGTTTTTAGATAAAAAAATAGCTCATTCTCGAAATTATGGCTAGAAATGCTTTAAAAACTGCTGTACTCATAATCCTTACTGTCGGTTTCATATGGTCTTTTCTCCCTAATATTGCATAACCCGACATGATATGTATCACAATGTGCTGTGCCGGCACTTTTTCCATGCTATCTGTCTGCTCGTATGCACCATCCACCAAGGCCTTCGAAGTTTTTTGCATGTGGTTTCGTGCACATGCTGCATGAGGATGTTCGTCTTTTTCTTCAGGTTAAGTGCTAGTCAAGTCATTTCACCCTAGAATTCTGAGATAGACGTGCTAGGGGGCGCTCATATGGACTGGAGTGTTTGAGGTTGTCTCAGACAAGTCCGGTACCAAATTCGCTACCCCAGAGGAATGACATGCTTGGTGGGCTCCGTGCACGGTACAACCAGCGCCTGGGTTACTTGTGCCATCGGCGTAATGAACGGGATCCCTACCACAGCGCTTCCCATTCTGTTCTCGTGTGATAATGATGTGTGTATTAAACATGAGCTGTATACATGAGCCCAGTTGGGCAGTACCTGTAGGTACCATTGCTCGTTGTCAAAAACACCGGAAAGACTTATCCTCTAAGCGGGTACACTGCGCTCAGCAAACAAATGAAGACGTTGCTAGTGTCCCTACATGTTCTTCAGTGAATCGAACTTACGTGATACCTGTGATATCTCCACTTTTTTCATGTCATGCAGTGCTTTCTCTCATTTGCAGAGTTTCCTACAAAATTCTTAGTGTAACATAAAGTGATGACCACAAAGTGTACCGTACTGTTTACTATTTGTTCAAAGTAACCCGTTCAACTGCTAGAATACCTAAAATATCCAAACGATATTAAATTGTAGTTGGCTACCCAATCAAACAACATGGATCACGCGCGCTTTTTTGTCAAAGATGATGGTCGACATTATATTGGGGCTTAGTTCGCCTTATTATATTTGACACTATTTCTTCTATACACATTAGTTTTCAGCAGTCTTCAATCATTGGAGATTCGTGCAGAAAATTTGTCGTGTTTTTCAAATAACGTTTTCAGCCAGTAAAAAGGCAGATGTGAATCGTTTGATTGCTAACGATGTTGTACGATTTCCTGGCTTTTCTTAGCTCATCCCTTTTCTTCATAGCACAAACCGCAGTCAGTATTAATTAGAAACAGTTGTCATCGTAAGATCGATGGCGAAAATGATACAGATGAGTTATTATTGAAAATAGGACCCACCACTGATAGCAATGCTTAATCGTTATCACATTTTGCACTGTGAGATGATTTTGTCAAGTCTTGAACTCACCATAACGTGGAACTTACGTATGAAAATGGGCACATCATTACAGAACGTGACCTATGTTATGATGATTAGTTGATGAAAACAGCGATATGAAACCTATCCCAAAAATGTTGTCATATTGTTCGTCTCTTGATGCGTATACACTTTTTTCCTGGGTATGAATTTGCAGACACCCTTTCCTATCACTCCGGAAGATCTCTTACGTCATTTGGCGTTACACCACGCTGCTCATTCGTTCGCGGTTAGCGAAAAACCGCACATCACATGTGGTTGAGACATATGTGGAGGCAATTTTCTAATGTGAAAGCGATACTGAGTGCGTTTATTCGTACACGAATCTCGGTCGAGTCAAGGCCGTCGAGATCATGATAGAAAACGGATGTGAGATCGAGTTACATATGCGGACCACGCCTTTTCATAGTGCTGCTTGCCTGAGCTAATACTGAGACTCAATCGCCAACCCTTATCACTACTGTTTTACTACACATAACAATTAAATTATGATAGAATTCTGAAAATCAAGTGATTATCGCTAGATATCGTATGGGAATTATTTGATGTATCGAGGAAGTTTCATTACGTGTGGACTTATTTGGACAATATCCTTTATCTGAGTGTTTCATTGAGACTCAGTCGTTAGCAAGTTTATATTCTTGGTCCATAGTGTTAAGAGGAATTAGAGAATTATGATAACCGGTTGGATGCAAAAGGTATTGAGCTAATTATGTTAATCTACGAAAAATTTGAAATGAAACTGATCTCAAAGAAACATAATAAAGAACGGTTGTTGTTAGAATTAACAAAAACCATTTCCAACTGCCACACTTCGTATAGTTTTACTAAAGCGAAGCACACATGCAGGGTTCTATTATATGGTTTCATATGACCATTATTAAATACCACATATCCTCGGCGATGCTGAAATCAAAGACACATGACTAAATTGTACTGTATAGGTTTCGTTTTATTCATGAAAGATAGGAGAAGGCAGTTATCGCTGAAGAAAATACCGGCGATGTAGATTGTTAAAAAGTGAGTTACATTCTTTAACACTCATCGGATTCAATCAGAATCGTTCAAAATGGTGTCAAGTGATTGTGATGGAAAGCATATTAACTTCATACTGTTTTGAAATTCTTCATCTTGGGCACTAAAGAGAATTAGGAAAAAGTTGAGAAAAATACCCGAGGACTATGTACCAACACTCACTGATGTAACCAATATTCTTCGTTCTTTGGCCAGCATTTCCTAATCAATAAGTCATGTTCGCCTTCAAAAATATGAATACTGACTGTTGTACGTCCACGTAGTTGCTATTCATATTATAGGTGAACTGGTTGGCCGAAGTTAGCCATCTATCTCCCAATATGCTTGACCGGTCATGAGGTCGGTATCACCACTTTGTGCATCCAAACAGATATACTAATGTTTTTTAAGAGATGCTCTTGTAATAGTTTCCTTAACCAGCCTTACCTTAGCTCCTTTTCCACTTGATACATGTGTAACTACGTTCAGATGGTGCGTTCGTATGTATGTATGTATGTATATATATGTATACGTGTGTATATATCCATATATATGTGTGTTTATATGAGTGTATTTATCAGGTACGTTTCTCTTCTGTTAGTGTGTTTCAAGGTGTTGTCGCGTTCTCCCGCCTCTGCCGAGCATCATGCTCAGCGGCCGACTGACTCGTTCGTATCTCTGCCTCCCTACCGTCAGCTGCCGTTAGTGAGAACATCGCACGGCTTTCCCCTATACTACATGCACCAGCAGTCGGGCTTCACTTGATTGCTCTAACACACACAATTACTGATTTTCGTATCGAAAATTCATCACAATTACGACCGATTTCTCGAACATATCGTACTGGTGATGGAGTGAGGGATCTATCCTCCACCTTCACTGTGACGACAAATCAGCGACGTCGAATATTAGTACCGCTATTGTTATTGTTATTACCATCGTCACTACTTTTCACCTACGATCAATAGTGTATTGATCGAAACATCCAGAAACGCGGCTGTGTTGATCCGTCGGATCACGGAATGCGTAATCCTAGTGCTGTTAAATTATATTACTGCGACGATTCGATGATGATTAGATTCGAACCGGACGAGGACGACGACATGAGCGAGGAGAAGCGCTTCTATTACCTACGATTAATGGCAAAACCTGGTCGGAAGCCAATCAAAACGAAGTTTGTCACTTGGTCGCCCGAGCAACAAAGTAACAGCAGAGAGGACGATCCGGTACTTGAGGTACTGGACGCGTTACCAATTTTGCTAGGGATATTTGTGCAAAGCATTTCACAATTCCTTAGTGCCCATTAATCATTACTAATGAGGTATTTTCGGTTTCTTTTACACTGTGTTTCCGGTATTGGTATAATGGTCATCTAGGAGGAATCTAATACGATCGTCTATCGGTTCACAACTAAACATTGTGTTGCGACTTCCATACTGTACATATCAGGAGCTGTCTTTATGCAGAAGCATGCTGTCTTTATCTCGCCCATTGCTCTCTGCCTCCTTCAATATTTCTTCTCATTTGCTCGTCATTGCACTAATTTTAGAGGGGCGTGCAGCAGACATAGCCTTTTCAATATTTTACATGTCCTGCATGCCATTTTCTACTGGCCGTTAGCAATTTTCCTCCCTCATATAAGAGAGAAAAGTGGGTCGTTAGACGGTTCTTATAGTGGACTCAAAGGTGTCATCTCGTGATGCTTGTTGTTGCCGACAATTATTGTTCCAGAATTCGCTTTATGGGCTTAAACTACTAAATGATATTCTGAAGGCCAGACACTTAATGGGTTTCGCCATATCACAGTTCTCTACGACATTATACGAGAAATCACAGTATTTTAATCAGTTGATCTCAGTAAATCTTATTGCTAAGCAAATGGAGGTTTTATTGTTGGGCTGTTGAAGCTACAATTTCCTTTCATAAGCTTCTGCTTTATACTTTAATTTAGGTCTCTGAATGGTTTAACTTGTATTGATTGTCTGTTACAGTAATGAAAACAATGTTTTTATACTATCACGCAATCACATTCTTCGTATTTGATAGCCGCTTGAACAGTAGACCTGGTGGTCATAAACGGTATAAAATCAATGATTGTGAAGCTTCAGCTTCACTACGGGTTACCAGTGTTGTCGAATTTTCGGAGAATACCCCATAGTTGTTCTTTTTTCTATTTCGCTTCTAAGTTTTTGTACGAAACCACTAATAGGTTGAGGTAGAAAACAGCGAATGAATATTTAATGTTTGCTGTTTTTACGTTTTCTTCTCACTACCTTGGATGACCTATTTGTTTAGAGTCAAGCGATGCGTGTGGTTCGTACGATAGGGCAAGCATTTGAAGTGTGTCACAAGGTAGCACAGGAGCAAATGCTGGAGAAGCATGAAGATGAAGCTGTCAAGAGCAAAGGTAAAGTTAATTCAATTTCTACTATACACTGTTACATATAATCAAAAAACATAGCTATTTGCGCCTTAGTAGATTTCGATTTGAAGAAACTTATCCAAACACATTATTTAGCTTCCCTCGCTAGCGAAGACGATACGGGTGTTCCTTTAGACGTAATTGAGGAGCGAGGAGCTGCTGAGGAGAGTAGTAGGAGTCAAAGCCCTGTCGAACCTATAAGTGGAGGACCAATGTATGGCCGGCGACTATCTTTGGTCGGCAACGGTTACAATTTTGTTTCATTTTCATAATTTTATTTATCGGCATTTCTTTCGTATTATTTTTTTTGAAAACATTTTTGATGTTATACTAATTCTCACAATCAAGAAAATTGGCTTTCACACCATCGCGAGGATTCGTTTATCTTTTCTGCAAACTTTTTAGAATTGAAATTCAAAGGTGTAAATAGAGCGGTTTGGGGTATGCCACTAATGATTTCCTTTCATATTATTGTTCGTTACCAATCACTACAAGATAGTCATAGCGCGGCTGCCTGACACAAGATTGTCTCTATAATATTTTTCATTGCTTCTTCTACATGACCCGTCATAACACCAACTGTGGGGATCGCAGCAGTTCTTGCATTCGATTCATTTTGCTCGCATTCGTCCTTCACAGTGATCTTCGAACATTTTGCAATGATGTTTTGGCTACTGCTTGATGATTTAGTCTTCTTTATGAATGTCGTAGAATACCGGTCGAGTGATTCTCTTTGCTATCTTGGAGATAGCCAAGTTAATTGGTTCCTTTGTGGATTGGAGAAAAGCGTTTGGAGGCGTCCGAACTAACACCTTTGCTTTCCGATCGACGGTATCACTAACCACTGTGGCACCCTGTACCCAGGCAATATTTGCTTTTCTAAAATGAGGGTACCATGTTCTAAGTAACCAAGAGAAGATGTTCTAAATTATGTGTAAAACCAGCCACACGGTAATGATTATTGTCGTTGTTCTTTCTTCCACAGTGGAGCGTCAGTATTGTTTTTGCCTGAACTTAGTCCCGATAACGCTCGCACTGTTCTAGAGTAATGGGTTGGGCAGCGAAACAAGACTTTTTGAGAAATACGTTGCCATAATACAAAGTCAAATAGTAATCCTAACCAGATTTCTTTGCCAATATGGTCCGCTTTAAAGTGACGTTAAGAATCTCAAATTGTTTCCTTAACTAACGATAAGTTGAATACGATATCACTTAAGTAGTCCATATGATTCATAGAGTTTTTCACCGCTTAGTGCAAAACATTGACGTTGCTCCTACACTCGGATCTTTTTCGCAAGCTAAACGTCAAACAAATTCGCACTCTTCAAAACTCCACATTTATCATGCATCACATTGTATCATATCAGTTACTTTTTGGCACGACATGATGCAGAATTAAGTCATCGTCCACTGTAGTACACGCAGTTACAAAACGGAGAAACGTTCACGTTTTCATATCACATTGTTACTGTTCTAATTCCTTGTTTTCTGTCGCTGTTCACGCATTCCTGGTGTCTAGTTTATTTGTGGTGGATGGTGAGAGGATGCGAACAAAATATGGAGATGCAAATTATGCGTGTATGATGACATTGATTTCTTGACTTTTCGTAAATCGGCGAAAATATGCATGAGAACGAATAGTCGAGCGTTCTGCAAAGACCAAAAAATTGTTTACGCCCTACGTTCTTTTTTGCGTTATTTTTTCTCTCACTTGTAAAACAATTCTAAGATGCTTACAACGAAACCTTTCAACCCTTTCAGTTTCAACCAAGGAAGGCGTCTTCAGCCAGTTCTTCCCTCGCTACGGCAATCGACACCACCACACAGATCCTTGAGCAACCGTTAACCAAACTGGAACCGTCCACATCAGCAGTGAATCCGAACAATCCATTGTTACAGCAACAGTCTCAACAGCACCCGCAACAACATCATCAACAACAACAACAGCAACAACAGCAGACGCAACATCAGCAATTCCAACAACAACCTCAGCAACAGCCGAGATCGTGAGTTTCACCAGTGCTTGAAGAATTACGTAATGCACATGGAGCAAAATAGTGCTTTTTCCCTTGGCTCAGGTCATTATGTTAAACAGGGTCAGAACTCTAAATGTAATTCGCTACTATTGGATTTTACATTTACTGTTTTGATCTTATTATGGCAGTGAGGCAATGTAACTGATGCAGCAATTATAGTCCGTCGACCTCAATTTTTAAATCCACTTCTCGCACCATCATTGCTCTTAAGTTTTGGAACCCTCTCAATACCTCAGCAACTGAGCAAATACAATCAGAGTGGCAACCATCGATTTGAATCTGGGCCTGGAGTTGTTTTTATACAAGTGACAGCAGTGAGACGGAAAGGTGTGACGCTCAGGTGTTGAGGAGGCGGACAGAGAAAAGCATCAAGCAACCAAAATGCAGTGATCTCGAGCTCACACGTGTGCACTATAGCTGTCTATGACGTCAAATGCTTATATGATATAGTTTCTTGCAAACTCAAAGGTTTAAAGTGAAAGTTTTATAATGGTAGCAGCCATTCTTTGACATTATTTAACAGCGTCAATATATTTATTTATATGATCTTATAAACTAATCTTCTTTAGCTGATGCGAGGTTGGTATAGGTCGCTGTGGTTGTCGTTGTTGCCGCCGTTGCTATTGTTCTTCTTGGTTACCCAAGTTTGAGGCTTTGAGGAAGGCAAAATCGCCGAAACGTTGGCCATCGACCAACAAGAATAACAGCAACAACGACAGCAACGACAACGGTAACGAAGAGCTATATCAACCTCGCATCAGCTGAAGAAGATTAGTTTATAAGATCATATAAATAAATGTATGAACTATCTATGCCGAGGTTTATGGAAAGTCGGTCTTTTGAGTTATTAAGAGAAGTTCCAGCAAAACAACATTAGTAGCATATATTGCAGTCCATTTTAGCCTGACGACAGTACCACCACCACCACCACCACCACCACCACCACCACCACCACCACCTCCGCCGGCTGGAATTCCAGTTCCTATACAGTACAGTAACTTCCCGATATCACCTTCTGGTTTGTCATTTCCAACAGGAACCTATCCAGGCTCATCACTGCTGTCTATGCCTGAAAGCGTTCAACAACAGCAGCAATTACACCAACAGGCGAGTATAAGAAATGTATATAAGGAACTTGTTTGCACCTTAATGGGTATCGGTTTAGTACAGTATTTGTAAGCTTATATGATTTTAAGCGGAGGACTTTCAGAATCCTCCCACCTTTACTTCAACATTACCACACACACGAACATGGAGTGCAGCACCACAAGGGCAGCTTCCTGCTTTTACCAGTTTACAGCCAACGACGTCATTAGAAGCTCACTCCTCAATGTACTATCCGGTACATGTTCTTTCATTTACGATCTGCTGTTATTAATTGCATGGTTTACTCTTGGTGGCAAGTTTTTTATTGCTACTAAGATGCTGTACAAATTGGAATTGTACAAAACAAAATCCTTTAATAAGGATACGCACTCGGACTTTTGTCTATATTTTTGAGCCGTATATAGTAGCTGCGGATTTATAGGTACAGCAACTCGTTTCAAGTTCCACATCGTTACCATATGGAATTTCTTCACCGGTTCTTGTTTCTCCGTATGCAACACTGCAGCTGAATATTCCACCGGTGGACCTGAGCAATACGGAGAGTGCTAACACTCTTACAAGATCCTTAGATCAGGTAGGTTTGTGGAGCGTATAGTATCAATTTAATTAAACTTATACACAAGTGTGGATTTAATGCGTTTTTTAAATACTTGTATAGTACAATCAGCAATTGATACGCTCCCAATTGGATCAGGCCCAACAGTCGGCCCAGGTTGCTGGCTGTCAGGTGCAACTTCTAAGAGATCAGCTGACAAGTGAGACCACTGCTAGAATAGAAGCTCAAGTGGGTATTGGTGACTACTTTTGCTAGACCCAACATTCGACTTAATATCACACCAGTGTTATGAATCTCTGTGTATGAGGTGTAAATGGAACTCAATTTGAGAGTCTTTAAATGTTTTTTCAGTCACGAACGCACCAACTTTTGAACGCCAACCGCGAACTACTCGAACAAGTCCAGTGCCTTATGCAGAGACTACAACAGTTGGAAACGAAGATCGCAAGTGAGATTCACCAAAGCGTACAGGTTAGTAATTTTGGTTACGAGGTAGTCATGAAAAAGTAGCAAGCAGTTGCAGTCTCCCATTGCTGATCCTCCCACGACGTCGTCATCTCTCGCTCGACCGCCGGCGTTCATGTCCTATCACGAGCAATACGATGCCCGTTTGCCGTGTGGATCACAGCCCAGGCAAAATTTTCCATATCAAGTTAGATATTTTTCCACTATATTTTACGAACTTCCTAGATTTCCTCAAAACGTTAAACATACAAAACACTGGTTTGCATCAGGCTCACGTGTTCTTACCTTTATAAACATCCACACGCAATGCAGTGTTGTTATAAATGTACCGAGATTCTCTGAATACACTTGGGTTCGATCCAATTCGGCAAACTGGTGCCAGACCTGTCTGGAGAGAAGGTAACACTGACTTGATACATTGGTAGATCACCGCCAGTCATTGTCTATGCCATATATACATTCAACCATTTCTAACGATGCTTGTTGAAGCCGAATCCATGACAAATTTGTCGATAGTTGATCAACGCAGCAAGTTTTACTTTTGTTTTTGTCCTGGAGGCTTTTTGAGGTCGATATTTTTCAGGTTCAGCCACTGGCAGATCTTCGAGCCGGTTCATTGCCACCAAAGGATTCCAGTGAGCGACGGTTCAAGGATGATGGCTCAAAGACGGAACCAGAAAGCAACAACGAGGATACGACTGATTACTCGAGTAGTGATCAAGTGAGCACATCTGTTACAATAAGATGTTTTCTTGTAATAAATTTTATTTATGTTCAAGTACGAGAAATCGTCAAAAGTGGTGAAGTCAAGCATGCCGTCTCAGTACAATGTGTTGATGGCAAATCCACTAGCGGACGTTAATCTACCACCAGATGTGGTAGAACGACCACATCAATCACGAGATGGAGATGCAAGAGAATTACATGGTGGTGATATAAAGGTTACGAATTGTTGCTGTTTCTTCTGGGTTTTTTTTAAACAATATGTGACAGGAGCTGATGAGTGTGGGTTTTATAGGAGGATGACGAAGCTCAGCCTGGAACCTCGTCATCGCCACAGCAAAAGAAGACACGAAGCGCTGGGATTTTGCGAGGCGAAATGGAGTTTGCTCGAATGTCATTCAATACAAGGTCGGTGAAATCATCAGCTGATTTTTAGATCAGGACGGATAGCATGTGGAAAAACTAAATTCTAGAGTTTTAATGAAAGAATAGCTGCATTATTGTTGTGAAAAAGTTGTCTTGTGGTCTCGCATTATTCAGCTTTAAAAATATCTAAATTCTTTAACTAGTAGCTATTTAGGCGTTCACATATTTTGGGCATAGTTTCGAGGTATTCTTTTTTTCTCGATGGAATAGGTCAACCACGTCGTCTGTGGTGCCGATGTGCATCATCGATATGCCTTAAGATAGCTGTCAAAGAGGTGCGATGTCACCATAAACTTGTTCTTTTCGAGTAATGTTCGAGAACGCTTTAAAACCTTTCGATTTGTGGTCGAGAAACCTTTGTTTTCTTCTGTTTACAGAAATGGCGTAAATGTGTATTACGTTATAGTTAACAGGGATTGTTCCAAGCCCTCCCACATGGAATTGTGAAGTTTGTTCTACTGTGTTCTTCATTATGATCCGGCAGCTAGTTAAGCTATGTATATTAAACTGTGCAACAAATAGTTTCTTTTGTTTGTTCTACTTACCGAATCTGGATGACTAGAGCTGAATGTTGAAGTTAGAAAATTCAAAAGTATTTCACGACCACTGCTATTCTAATCTAATTTCAAGTGATTACATGATTTGGCACGCCTCAGTGACCTTCTAAAATACGGGGAGATATTTAAAATATATCACTGTACTCTTCTATAAATTGTCCTTAAGCCTAAAGCACAGGTATGAAAATTTAGAGGATTTATAGAAAGCTTTAAGCAAACATCTGTTATGCATTGAGTACAATGTGTTTGTGAGGAAGTAATGTATATTTTTGGCTTTAAATCATTAAATGTTACCTATATCAAACTATATTAGTTGAAACTCTTTATTAATTTTTATTTATACGACTTGCCTTTATATATTTTGCAAATTACAACATTTCTTTCTTTGGGATCGTCTCCCCGAATCCATTATCCACGAAGGTCTTAGCTTCCTTTGTAGGCTCACTTGGTGCCTGACGACTTTGTCTTCTCTTCTCTATAAATTTCGTTAAATTCTGGTCGATTTGATTCTTCCTAGAATTTTGAGAGAGCTCTAATATGACTTGCCAAGGTCTTCACCACAGTAAGTCGCAGAGCTTTGTCGACTGGAGCGAGCTGTTCCCCAGTCAATCTGCTGCCAATTCACTGAACGATAAATGATAATTGGCTGTGTCTGTCCACGGTTGGACTCGACTAGTAGGTATGGTACGTATGGTGCTATAGGTATGGTACGTGTATTGCACAGCATCTCCAACGACTTCCTTTTAACTGGAGCACAATTTACTTATAATGTGTAGGTATTCTCTTTGAGAAAGGAATTTTCTTGTTTTATTGGGATAAAATTTTCGAATCAACGTGGCTTTCGTGGAACTTTCTTTTCGTCGAGGGTCGTATTTCTAAAACAAAAGCAGCACGATCGGTGACGCTGCTCCTTCTTTAGAAGTTTTGAAAATTTAAATTTCGTACTTGATTTTTTCATTCAAAATTATATATGCGCTTAAGAAGGTAGACAAAGAAGCTTTTACGTTCTTGTAAGCTTCTGAGCCCAAATGCTTTGGTGATCGACATTTGTTAAAACACAACTTTGGGCGGTATATTTTAGACCACTCACTACTTTGTCTTAATCAAGCGCTGTTCTTAGGATAAAGCTCTAGAAGGATAAAGCTCTCGGCGTTGATCAATCCCTCAGGGATGCGCCATGCATTCGACATCATTATGTATCGTTAGAGGTGACCGAATGCATATCTGGCCTTTACAATAACTCATGGTGGTCTACCGATGTGTCGAGCCAGTGCTGCAATCCTCCCAGACAACTCTGGTACCAATTTGCCGACCACGGTGGGATGGAAGGCTTGGTGGTCCATGGGGGCGGGGATCGATTCCACGCGTGTGTCGCAGTGGCGCCTCCAACCACTTCGCCACACGCGCCCTTGTTCTTAGGGTACTAAAAAAATGTGGTCAAAACTATGAAGGCTTGGGCTATCACTTTTAAATTTATAACAATATGTTAATTAAGTTTTTAGTAAATAACACACACTACTTTTAATTTTTTATGGAAGGCGTTTTTTGATTCTTTAAAAATTGCTCTATCTAGCAGCTTACCAATTTTTTAGCCTGTAGACTTTAAGTGAATTTACCTTGCTTATTTTATTCATTCTGAATACGATTGTCTGCTGTACATTTACCATCATTATCAGCGATATTATTACATTTTTGGGTAGTTCAAAACTATCTGCTATCACAAAGGCAGTGGTTGCAGATCATGAGAAGCCTGTTGGCTTGGTTTTAAGATTGTCGCTCATGTCAAGGCTGTCGCAGATTTGATTGAATCGGAACAAATAATTCCCTTAAGTGTTTACATGCGGCGCGGTTGTATGATCGTTATGGGAAATGGAAGTGCAGCCTGTCTTCATCAGTGGTTTCGAGAAGAAAAGTGCTAAGAAACGCTAGCAAAAGCTTATATCCCATTCCATTACGTTATAACGTCTTTTATCCTTTGCTCAACTATGTTGTTTCCTCTAAGGTACATTTTAGTGAAGCAAACCAATTAATGCAACACAATGCATTAATTTGTCTAAATATTACGAATTTGCATTCCTATTTCTGGATAGGTCTGCATTTATAGAAGGAATATATTGTATGCTCCACCATGAAATAGTATATTAATCCTCTGATTTATCTCCACCAAGCCTGTTATTCTTTGCCATTGAAGGAGTTCTAGCGAATCTTTTGTGCTCATGCCTAACAATGACTTGAATATTGATTGCTTTCGCCTATTGCCCATAGTTTTTTTTATTAATCATTTTATAGTTTTTATTCTTCTACTTTACATAGCTCAGTTTTGCATCTACTGTACGGATCTCGCCACCTTTGCATTCGAATGCACTCATCAGCCACACAGCTCGGTTGCTGCTTGAAGACTTTCTCCTTAGTTGTGAATGTCATTGAATGCTGAACTAGTCGATTCTCCGTCTAGCGCTAAGATAGCCGTGGAAGAAGGTTTTCACGTAGATTGGAGGAATTGAGCCGATACCAAACAACTCTGATACCAATTTCAAGATTCCGAAGGGATTGAAGGCTTCGAGCGCCAGAGACAACGTGGAATCAGCACCATGTTCGGCTGCCCATATTAACCCGTATATGATAATCCTATTCATATTTGTATTCCTTAACAAATTTCTATGCGGAACAAAATATTGGTGACTTATTTTCAAATGATTCAGTGGTCGAACATTAATGTGTGTTTAATCTGCGTGCTCAATCTGTTCTCTAAGATGTTAGATTGTCGGCCATTGAATTCAAACATCGTGGAAGAAAATATCCGGGTTCATACAAATGTGTGGGTGTTGTGAAAGTGATTTTCTAGCGGTTTATTTTAAAAATTAATGCGAATGGAACACTAAGCATTAAAGATCAGATGGTAGGATCGATTTTTTAGCTACCTAGTCGACATTTTATTCATATATATGTTAAAAACAAGCTAAACAGAAGGTTTCATTTTTTTGGAATTACGCGCTTTAATAAATCTGACAATGGCTGCATGTGATGGCTGCAGGGAACGCCTGTCTACTTTCACCACTTGACGTATGTTTTTGTTAACAGGAACTTTGAAGTGAAATTAGTGCCCGTGAATTGGTTATAAGTTTGTTCGACATAATTAGTACATTTTCGCTCGTTTTTCTAGACTGCAACAGCTTCTGGGCTCGAAGGAAATCGATGAACGAATCGAGGAGGAAGATCGAGACGATGAGACGACGCCTGTGGGAAAGAAAGTCGACGACGATCGAAAAGATGATAAGCGTAGGAAGGAAAAAGTCACCGTAGAATTACCTTTCAAATCCGACCAACCTCTATCTGACAAACCAGTGACTGCCAATCGGACTACTTTGGTTGGTTTTTCATTGATTGTTTGTTGAACATTCCCCTCAGATACATGAAAACGTAATGTTACAAAAGTGGTGCTGTTGCTATTATTACCTGCCTCGCGCTAAGTTCTAAAACAACTTGACTGATTTAATATTATTGTGAAATTTGTATTGCAGGCTCAAGTACCGCCTTGCTCAAATGCCATCCTCCCTGGACAGTTAGCTAGTTCAAGCGTCGTTACAGCGATGTATCCTCCGATTCGACGACCAGTAGTTACTCTTATAAATCGGGTAGGTAGATGAGTTTTAAATTCTTTTTAGATTTAGATTTTACTAGACTGCAAGATCTATCTAAACAAGTAACCTGTAGGGCAGTTCGGCTATATATACTTTTAGTTCGAAATTGCACAGGGTTACATTCCATGCCTAACTTCTTTTTTCACTTTTTGTACATTTGCTTAATACGTAAGAAGCGCCTAACTCAAAAACGACACACGTGGAATCGATACCGGCGCCTATGGTCTACAAAGCCTTCCATACCTCCGAGATCGGCAAATTGCTACCAGACTTGTCTGGGGAGGATAGCAGCACTGGCTTGGTACACCGGTATGCCACCTCGAGTCATTATCAAGGGCAGATTTGCATTCAATCACCTCCAACGATGCTTAATGAAACCGAGTGCGTGGCGCATCTCTCAGGGAATGATCAACGTCGAGAGCTTCATCCTTTTTTCTATCCAAATATTCTTCGAGTACAATGCATTTTAAGCGGAAATAATGCCTACCATTAACTTTAAACTCATTTACCTTAACTCACAGTGAGCGCTCTCATTTTTATAAAGTACTAGAATTAGCAGACCCTTGTTTATCTTGTTTGAGTTCTTTGAAACTGCCACGATACATTTCTAGTTTTCTAGAGCCTACGAAACGTATTTTTGAAAACATGCATCATCGCTTATTTTGAGTACGGAACCAATTGAGCAAGCGGAATATGGTCCAAAAACAGGGCATAATAATGTCCTTCAGGAGAGCTGCTGTTTGCAGCTGCTGTATGGTTTTCACAGTCTTAAATTTCGTCTCCCATTTTTGGGGAATCTTTAATCCTGAACG